TAACAAACTTTACTAATTTACATGTTTAGTGCTTTTGTTTATTTTGCTTTTACATTTAGTGAAAATAAAGCTACAAGTAACCGTACTTGAACTTCAAATAAGTAATCTGAGTCCCCTAAAATTTTAAAATACAAATGTCAATTTTTATAAAGGTATATAATTTCCTAAAAAAGCTCACTACAAGGGGGGAAAAATCCTGCACTTAAAATTCCTATTGTACTGTCTCAATGTCAAATAAAGAACAGAGAGGACAGGAAATAGTCAAGTCAGCTGTGTAAAGAAACTGGCACACAGTTCTAATCATGACCTCCTAACATGGGTCCACTTCCCTATCACCCCTCCCTAGGCCTTAAAATAGATTCTTAGCTATTCCCACAACAGATGACATACTAAGAGCAGAAAGTTGCTCAGTGTCTTATCTTCTGAGTTATCAACAAAGCCCAATAACATCACAACACATCCCATGTCAGAGAAAAGGATAATTTTTGCTTACAACTGTATCAACAAACAAACTACATTCACTACACTGAATTTCTTAAATAAAAAGTGCAGTTCCACTATGTTTTTAAAAAGCTGCCCCTTATATTCTATTAATTCTCTTAGTACCAAAAACATGAAAAATAAAAACTTACCCATCTAAATATACTAACTGAAAAAAAAAAAGGAACTTCTTAATAAAATAGGGTTCCGGGTCTCAGCAACAGCTATTACACTTATTTTGTCACAGGACTGTTTCCCTTTAGGATACTATAGAAACCACCTGATCTGATAGGAAACTAATGAAACCCTGGCTCCAGGACAGTGACAGTGCCACAATTAACAGGGATACATAGTGTTCAATGGTCAATTGCAGATCTGGGACACAGCTCTGAAGGTCCCTATTATAGCACACATTCACTCTCACTTAAGTAATATTTGAACTTAATATTCTCATATTCATTTCAGAAAGGGCATCAGTACCCTTATACACTGGGAAATGTGATTATCAAAGTTTATAGTATCTACTATAAACTCAATTGTGTTGTATATGTAACGGTACAACCTTAGTTATGAAAGGCTTGAAGAGCCACAGCACCCTCCTCTACAGCAGTCAGGGTTCTGTGCAGTGCTATGTGGGTGATGCGGAGGGTTGTTCCCACTGTACCCACAAGAGCTGTGATCTCACTGGAGAGAACTGGTGACCAACACTAGCTCATTACAACTCTTCAAGGATTACCTGGGAGCAGTGCCTTGGCTCCTAAGGAACAGATTAATTACCCCATCTTAAGTAAAATCTGTTTGTCACAAATAACAGCTACGGTCAACAATGATTTGTTTTTTAGACAAAAGAAAAACTGAAAGATTAAGAAACTATATAACCTAAGACCTCTATGGCCATGCAAAGTTTTAAACCATAGCATTTATGAACAAACAAGTTTTCCCAGAAAGAAAAAAGACAGTCAAAATTCAAGAAAAGATATAACATGTGCAACAGTAAACACATCCTCAAAGATAAGCATGAATATGGAAGATAACTAGCAAAGCCAATTTTAATAAAAAAATATTCTCACATTTTAAGAGTGGAAAATTTTATTATAAAAAGGGGTTATCTGAAAATTAAAAACACTTTCAAACCATTAATGTAGATTCTAACATATTTGCTCACTTTTCCTGAATTATACTCTAGGTTTTCTGATAGCGCCCATAAAGATTCAAACTATACTTTTTAACAAATCACACACTTCTCATTTTTATGTAAGCAGCTCCTCTCTCTCTAGCCTGCCTAATGAATTAAAACTCAAAATGAAGTTTAAGTATCACATTCTCTTTTCCTCTACTTGATACTTTGCAACACTATACTGCAAAAAATGTCTATTTAAAAAAACATGCTTTGCATTCATGGCAAGGAAAAGTCTTTAAAACAATCTGTGTGTAACTGTTCTTTTCTAGAGATGGTATGGGGGTCAGTTAAAATCTGACGACAAAGCAGTGCAAGATCCACATGTTACTGTGATCCAGGGCTAGCCTTTTGAGTCTTAGAGAAGTATTAGCTCAAGGTCTGTCTTTTATTTCAGAACTTATCTGACCTAAAATATATTTTCAAACTTAAAAAGCAGCCCTGCTAAAGATAAGACACTAGGAAAGCAAGACTGGCACCTCACCACGTGGTGGAACTGACTACCCAGTGAAACTACAGAGGATAGGCAAGCGTCAGTGTACTCTCTCTACATCACTCAAGAGTCAGTGTACTCTCTCCACATCACTCAAGAGTCAGTGTACTCTCTCCACATCACTCAAGAGTCAGTGTACTCTACCTCACTCAAGCTTTACACGTAGGGGAAAAAGAAACACCACAACACTTCATTCCCAAATTTGTTAGTCAACTGAAAATTCTCAAACAGGAACTATATTAAAAGCTCACTGCTTGAAAGTATTTTAAAAATAAAATTGCTAAACAGTCCCATTCAAAATTTAATTATTAGAGAGTAAAATATCTCAACGTCACTGAACAATTTAATCCCTAAAGTGAAACTTAGTTTTATCTGAATTTAAAAGTAATCTTTCTGCCAAGCATTACAGACAAAGGAGAGTGTAATCCCTAACCACAAACACAAGTCGTGATTAATTTGTTTTGGACAATGAGAGGCCACAAGGGGGTAAAGCACAAGTTGCCAATTTTCACAATTAAGTCATCTAGCAGAAAGTTATGATGTGCACTTAAGAACGAGTGTTTTCAAGTCAAATTAAATTTATAGTAAGTCTAACAAGTACAGGAAAAAGGCTGTAACACACTACGGACTAACTAGCCCCTGTCCTGCAGGTTTGCTCTGGTCTGATGAAAACAACCACACTTCCTATTCATTCTGAGGTCTATTGTAAACACACTAGTGGCCCAGTGCATGGAAGCCCTCTGTACACTGGCCTGATATAGACTCCCAAGTACAGAAGAGAGGCTGAGGTGAGAGATAGAGAAAACATGAAAAGAAGAAAACAAATATTTTGAATACTGTAATCCTAAACTAGCTTTCTTCTACATCTGGAAAGCAAAGGGTTACTATTTCTAATTAGAGAGTAACAAACAAGCCTGTGCAGAAATGACATAACTGAAATTCCTCCAGTTGACTTATGCCAACCTCAAACTAAGGTGGTTATGTCTGATCAGTCTGAACGACCACATGAGCAGCCTTTACAACTAATCGAATAAACTCCTAGTTTTCTATATAGCATCTCCTAAACTTTTTATAACCTAAATACGTAACTTGAGTATACGGAGCACTTTAAGAATGCATTTTAATTCATTTTAAGTGCTGTCTAGTTGTGTAAGAGATTCCCCCTACACTGTTACTTTAAAAAAATGCAATTTTCATCTTAAATTTCACACTAATACCACGAAAACAACCAAGACACTAAGTGAAAAAGTAACAGTATATTAGGTGTCTTCTCTGCAATCACATTTGTGGATAAATAATGACAGATGAAGTCACCTAAAATTTAAATTTCTACTGAACTTAATATAGGTCAGAGTTTTACGTATGCTAAACATTTTGTTCCAAACATTCCCAAGGTTAAAAAAAAACAGCTGGCGCCCCTTAGCGCTCACATTTGGAAATACTCAATTCAAGAGTTCCTGGCGCCCCCCTCCTTTTTTTTTTTTTTTTTGTGACATTCCAGAAAGTTTTCTGCCTCCACAATCTTTCAAATGCCAACACAAATAGGCAAAACCCCTTAAAGGGACAGCTCAAGTTTTCTCCGGGGCATCTGAGACTAACAGACACAACGCAGACCCAACAGTGGGAAATGGCCCTCTCGATGTGTTACTGTCCTGTGTATGTCCAAGCGTCATAGCCAAGTGTTTTCTGTTTGAAGTCCTGCCTGTGGCTCCCCCCCCCCCACAAAAGAAGCTCTTAGGACGATTCCTCAACCATCTCCTAGCTCGAGAGGTATTCAGTCTTTTGTTCTTGCCTGATATGCCAGCTCCTCGAGCATAAATTCTGATTTCTCTAGCTATATTTGAAAATGTTGCGAGATCCTTCTCAAAATGCATTGTTGTTCTGCACAACAGCAGTTTTCAGCTTCCTTAGGGCAGGCCCCCCGGAGACTTTGAAAGCACAAAAGGGAACCTCCCCGCGCCTGGGTTTTCACATTGGACTTGTTGGTCCTCCGGCCCCGCTCGCCGTCCCGGGAGCCCACGGGAACGCACGGCTCCTGGAAACTCAACACTCCCGGGCGCTGCCGGGAGAAGTTCTTAGAGCAGTTCCAGAGCTGACCAGCGTGCATCTTCTAGCCACTCCCGGCTCCCCGCGGCGCTCCCAACTCGGCTTCTGCAAACTTTCGCTCTATTTTATCCCCGTCCTTTCAAACTTCCATTGCAGCTCCCCGCCCTAGGGACGGACGCGGGCTGCTACGCCGGGAGCTAGCCCTCCGCCCCACTTAGTTCTTCCGAACTCGGATTCCGTTCAGGTCTGTCATCGCGGTATTTCGTACTCCACCCCCCACCACCACCAAAAAAAAAAAAAAAGTGAAGTTAAACTCCCAAACAGTTCTCGCTTCCCTAAACAAAGGACGGAAAAAGTGCTCGGCTGTGTCACCTCGTCCTCGCCGTCGGCCACACAAGCACTACTTTTCAGAACCCTACGTAATCTCTGGACACCCGGGAGTCCACTCCCGTACCGCGGGCCACACGACTCCACCGAAACGGGCCCCCCCTCCTCGGCCGGGGCCCCGCGGGCCGGGCCGGGCCAGGCGAGGCGAGGCGGAGCTCGGGGACTCGCGTGGCCCGGCCGGATCGGTCGGGATGGCGGGGAGTCTATCCGCCGCGCCGTCGGGAGCCGGCCTCAGCCCCGCCGCCCCGCGAGCTCCCGGGTCCGCCCTCGGGCCTGGCCCTGCCCCGGCCCCGGCCCGCCGCGAGCCGCCCGCGCCGCCTTTGTGCGCCCGCCCGCCTGACCTTCCCGCCGGCCCGCCATCCCGGGCCGCCGCGCCCGCCCGCCCGCCCGCTCGCCCGCCGGGGTCGGGAGGCTCACCTTCGTCCAGCAGCCGCTCGAGGTGGTTGAAGATCCTGCAGAAGATGGGCAGGCTGCAAATGAGCTTCTTGTCGTTCATCAGCTGCATCAAGTAATCTGGGGTGGGCTTCGGATCTCCTTCTTTTCCATTTCCCCGACCATATTCCAGGCTCTGCAGCTCACTCTGCCCGCCGCCGCTGCCGCTGCCGCCAGAGGAGAGGAGGGAGGGGCGGGGGCGAGCTCTGGTCGCCGGCCGCTCAGGACTTGGCGTCCTGCTCCGCGCCGGCTCCCGCCCGGCTCCCGCGCCGAGCCCCGGGGCGGCCGGCTCCGCGCGCCCGCCCGTCCCCCGCAGGCACTTTCGCCCGGCCCAAAGCGCCAAGGCCTCTGCTCCCTCGGCAGCCTGGTGCGGCTCCCTTGCGAGGCCGGCGGCGGAGGCGGGTCTCGGGGCCGAGCGCGGCGCGGGGCCGCTGCGCCGCGAGGAAGCCGCCGGAGGGGGTGTGGGGGGAGGAGGAGGTGGCCGCCGCTCGTCGGTCGGTCGCGCCGCCTGCGCCGAGCTCGGCTCGCGAGTCTGCGGGGCTGTCCGCCGCGGCGCTCCGCGTTGCCGCCGCCGCCGCTGCCGCCGCCGCCGCCGCGCTCCGACTGCGCTCCTCCTCTTCCTCCGCGGCTCTCCTCCTCCTCACTCACTTGGCGGCGGAGTTCGCCTCAGTTCAGGCGGCGCTGCCGGCGGCGGCGGGGGGAGGGGCGCGGGCAGGGCCGGGGGCGGGCGGCGGGCGGGGCCGCGCAGGGCGGCCGTTACGGGGCTGGGCGCGCTCCCGCCCCCCGCCGCCGCCGCCGCCGCCCCTGCCCCTGCCCCTGGCCCTGGCCGCTCGGGCGGGACGGACGGCCGGATGACTGGCTGGCCGAGGGCCGGGCCGCGGCGGAGGGGGGACGCGCGCTGGCGGGCGGCGGGCGGCGGCCTGCGCGGGGCCGGGGTCGCGGCGGAGGGGGGACGCGGGCGGCGGCGCTGGCTCGTCGGCGCGCTGTTGCTGAGGCGGCGGGCGCGGTCGGGCGCGGCGGCGGCGGCGGGCGAGAGGAATTCCGCCGGGACTCTGCGCGACGCGCGGGCGCTGCGCTGGCCACCGCCGCCCAGGCCTCGCCTCTCCGCGCGTTACTATAGTTTGGGGTCTGGGGTTTATCTTTTTTCTCTCTCTCTTTATTTAAAAACCTCTCCGTCCACCTTCCTCGCCGCCCCTCCAAAAAAAAAAAAGATAATTTTTTTTTTCTTAAACGTCCTGTTGCTTCACCGGGGGCACACTCGGGTGGGCGTCACGTGGCCCGACACGTAGCCTTGAGGCCGAGAGCGCGTGCGCGCGTCGAGGGCTGTGGCCACGCCCCTTCCGAGGGTCGCCCCGCCCTGTCGGGCGGAGAGCGCGCCGTAGGGGGAGGGGCGGGCCCGAAGCGCGCCTGCGTGGGGGGAGTCTGGGGAGGGTCCGGGTTGGCTGGGGTGGGGGGGAACCGAGAAGCGGGGCGGAACCGTTCTGGCTCGGCGCCCACCCTGCGGGGCGGGGACGTGAGGTGGGGGGGACCTGGCCGTCGGACCTGGCGCAGGCGAGTCGGAACCCCAGCTCCCGATGCTGGTGGGCGCCCGAGCCGCAGTATCTGCCGCCCGCTGCGGGACTCCAGTGAGGGTTCCCCGGGGAGCCAGACCCCACGCGTGACGGACCCCGGGGCCGTGGGCGGAGGCGGGACACGCGTGCGCACCCACGGGCGGGCTGTGTTCCACGCGGCGTGACGCGCCGTCCCGTTATCCTGCCCGCCGGCCGGAGCGGAGCGGAGCGGGGGAACCCAGCCTCCTCCTCCGCCGCAGAAGAAGGGAGCCTGTGTGAGGAGCTCACGTTCGGAGGAGGAAAAGAGAGCCAACATCTATGAATTTCTGCGTACTGAGGGAGAAAGTAAAAAATATAGAAATAAAAAAAGGAAGCAGGGCGCCAGAAAAGGGCTTTCAGTGCGGTGTGACTGAGTTGTGCCGTTTACATTTGTTTGGGAAACAATTTTACGAATTGCAGCAGTGAGGTCCTGTGATTTACAGAAGCTATCAGTCATTAAATCTGCATCACCCATGTTTTGTTGCGAGTTCTTTGTAACGGGCTCCGTTAAAATGTGGGGAAGATTATCAAATCAGCCGCTTTTGAGAGTTGTCCCTGGCTATGATTTTCTGTGAATCATGTCAATGTATTTTAAATGTGAACGTAAGTAGGATGGTGGCTGCTTTTTTTTTTTTACTTTGTTTTACATAAATTCTAAAGAACATTGCTGAGAATGCATGGTACTAAATGTATTTAAAGCAATTTTAGATAGCATGGCCAGTATTTTCTGGCAGTTTCATTTAAAGACCACAGTTTTTTTAATTAAATTTGATAGAGCAAATGAAGTTGCCTTGATAGACAAAGTTAAAAGCACATAAATCAAATAATTGAATTTTCCAACAATAGCTATAACTCTAAGTACTACAGAATATTTACCATAATTATCTCTGTAAACAAATTATGTAAAGGCATGAAGTAGCAATTTGATCAAAAAAGCTTGTTTCTACGTTTTCCAGTTGTTTCTTCAGAACCTAGATAAATGAGAAGCTTGTATCTTGCATATTATTAAAAATATTTTGATGCTGGATTATTCATGTGCTCTACTTGTGCAAGATGAAGTCCCCTTTCTAATGTGGCATGCTTAACTTCCTGGGCCCTGAGCTAATTGCTGTACCTCTGTAGTTCAATCAGAGCAGTCCTGTGTCTTAGGTAATGCTGGCATCCCCATTTTTACAGAAGAGGAAGAGGTAAACTAGGTGCTCCCACGGCACGATAGCTGACAGCACTATAGTCTGCTGTTGGTCCCGTTTTATTTATTCCATAGTACCCTTCCTTCCACATTTCTGAGCCATGGTTTCAGCCTCTTTTATAGCGCAGCTGAAACAAGAAATGACACTGTTGAGTATCTTCATTCCCCATAGATTAATCCCTGGTGGGTCCGTCCTTGGAAATAGCTGCTTTGAAGTGCAGAGTAAAAATTCCAAGTATATGTCGATCTCTCCCCCTGCTCAGTTTTCCCTGATTTCTCAGGTAAGGGGAAAAATATCCAGAGAGTTTACCAGGACCTTCCAGGCCCCAAGTGATCTCCTCCCCTGCACGTTGCTGGCCAACCTCACTTCATGGACTCCCGTCTCCCTGGAATCCACCTTGACCTCCACACCCGCTTGGCATCTGTCAGCTTCTGGGCTTGGTGTTCCTCCTTGGAAAGCTTCCCCACTCCAGCCACCTCTACTTTTTGTTAAATTTTCAGTTCTTTCTGCCAGATTTTTCTCACATGCCATGTCAGATCCGTGGGTCAGTTTGTTTGCCATTAGAGTACAGACTTCATTTTCTTCTTTTTAGAATCTCAACACCTCCACTCCACAACAGCGCATGAAATGTGCCTCCATGACAAGCTGTCCAAGGAGGAGTGTTGGTGCTTGTATACCAGAAGTCCAAATTCTGACCTAAGTTATTTCTTTCAGTGCTCGCCCAACATACTGGGGAGGCATGAGTAGCCATGTTTGAGAAGTGACATGGTTGGCTACCTCCGAACAGTGTAGCGGCTAGTGGAAGGCTGTACAACAATTACACGTGCTGTCTTTGGAACCACTGGAGGTGTCCGTCCATACAATCCCTCCATTTTCTGTCTTCCTGTTTCTGAACACTGTGGACATCCAATACTGATCACCCAATATGATGACCACAATGTAGACTATAAAGTTTGTTGAGATGTGTACCTTTCAAGCTTATAAGTTTTAACAATTATTATAGGTCCTTTAGTTCTGCTCTTACAAGCACATCTCAATACAGCATTCAGAATGAGCAGGGTAAATATACATGAAGACATGTACACACAGGTATGTGAAGATGTAATAGCTGTCTCCGTGAAAAAGCATGTCCTCTATTGAAACTAAAACTGGCTCTGCATTCTAACACTGCAATTAGCCAGGAGTGCAAGTGCACTTTCTCTTCTCTTAATTTCATTGGCTCTACTAGTTTACTGCATTTCTTGACATTTAAAATAAAAACTTACAGTGTCCAAGCACTTCTGTCTTTATGGCGTTTTTACAAAAACTAAAAAGAATATTTTAAACTTTAGATGCAATGTTTGATGGCTCTTGGTTCCAATATTCTTTTTAAAAAAATAAATTCCCATAAAAGGGAGTGGGAGAATCTAGGTATGTTTATTTAACTAACTCTACAGAACTTTTGAGTACCCTCTTTAATGGTAAAGTGGTTTAGCAGATACTGTTGGAAACACTGAAAATGATCCAGGGACTCCGGTCAACTTCAAATGTCAGATAACAATGAAAATTAGGGCTTTGAGAATTGGTGGTGGCAAGGGGTACTTTAGGGGGAGCAGTCTTTTGGCTTTTGTGCAAAGAATCCAATAGTCACATGCTTTCTTTCATTGAAGCATGCGTGTATCTCTTGTAAGACAGGAAGCTCTGCCCCCTTGGCTGCTGTGATATACTCCGTGCTGCCTTCAGACCCCTAGTGTGTTCATTCGTTCCTTCCGGATGCAACACCAGCATCCAGCTTCAACCCCTGCCCAGCAGTTAAATATTAACTGCCCGTGTAAGGTTTCTGCTCGTTTGACCCTAAATGAAACTGTAGAGGTAAAAACACTCAGAACCAGGATGCAGGCCCTCGTGCCATGTAACCTGACCTTCAATCCATGTTTAAACAGACCTCCAAGTAAAAATAGCTGTTAATTACAGGATTGAGAGTGAGCTTCAAACGCTCTCTGTTTTGACCAATTTTCATACTGACTCATGGCATTAATTTCAGTATTGCTTCTCTGGATTGGGCTAATTTCATGTTTTTTTTTTCCTCTCTCTCTCTCTTCAGGATCTGGGTCCCTCAGAATGAGTCAGTGGTTAGGTTATTTTAGCATGTTCGATAGCTAACATTTGGTTGGTTCACAGTGTGTTAATTTTAAACAGCTAATGTGAGTAAACACTTTATAAGCAAAGGCTATAACACTCATGCCATTCCCAGACATTTAATCTAATGCCATTGTCCTTAATATAACTTAGAAAGCTGAATGTATTTTTGTGGTAATTGTGGCATACATGACTTCTAAACTGAGTTCCCAGAAGGTCAGTGAGAGACCAAAAGGAGTCCTCTAGGGTGACAGGCCCTGTGGTTATCTCTGTACACTGCAGTCCAGAGTTGACAATTGCCTCCATTTTCCAGTTGAAGACAGTGAGGTCCAGAGAGTAAGTAATAGGACTGGTCCCTCAGTCAGTAAACCCTGGTGACAGGATCCTCATCAGACCTTCAAAGTGGGTGACTGGACATGCGGCTGGTCCTTCCATAAGTTACATTCAGATGCCCAGGAGCCGGGTCTCCTTCTCAGTATTTAACCCTACTGTGATGTGAGATCGTTCATGGCTTCAGCTCTCGCATCTAACAGTGCTGGTGTTGTACAAGGAAAAAGAATCTGCTAGTGGCTGCTAGGGAAAGGAGGGTCAAGGTGGGCGCCCAGGCTGTGTCAGATAGTTCCACACCCACGAGACCCCAGGCGGAGTTGACTGGACTTGATACTTTTTTTAAGAGAGGAGACATGACAGGGAACGTGTTGTGTGTGTGTGTGTGTGGGGGGGTGGATAGGATCAAGATACATTGTATACATGCATGAAGTTTTGACAATCACTATTTAACTATCTCACTCTCAGTGTGTATAAAGTCCTTGGGGGGGGGGGGGTTCTTTCCTAAAAGCCTGAGCAAATAACTGGTGTATCTAAAGGCTGGACTGTTTGGAAGTTCCAGAAGTCTCTAGGGCTGAGTAGTCTTCACTGAGAAGAGAAGATCTCTGTTGTTTAGTCTGTGGGGTAGCCCTGGATCCAGATGGCAGAAGAGATGCATTTAAAGCCTTCAGCTCTTGGGCTGAAGACACAACTCAGGAGCTTGCCTACCGGGTAGGAAATCCAGAGTCCCATCCCCAGCACTGCAGACACAGAAACCTTTAGGTGTCCAATTTTGTTCTCCAAAAATCTTTTTAAAAATATTTAACTATTTTCATTTCCCTTAGGTGTGTGATACTTAAGGCTGGACGCCTTATATTTTACATTTTCCAAAAACAAATTTCCCACCCAACACATGACAACTTTATGGCGTAACTTGCTAGCTAGTGGAGGGAACTTTTATGCAGGCAGAACGGAAGGACCCCTTGAAGGAGCAGCTGAGCTTTGCTCCTTCTGTTCCCTTGTTTTCTTCACAAATAGCTACTCTTCAGATAAACAAAAGAAAAAAGAATAAGACCACAGAGACAAACTTCGTGAAGGGGTGGGGAGCAGCCTCTGGGAATTCAAATGGTTTCTCTGCCTTTACTACAGGGAAAGGGAAGGTCCCGGAGCTGACTCTGTGTGTTCAGTATTTGCAGGGATTCTCGGGACTGGGAATGAATTGTCCCACCAGTGAACCGGACCCCCAGACCTTTTTACTGGGGGAAGGATGGGGATGCACTCGTGGACCGTGTGTGGAGGTAAGTGGACAGCTTCGGGGCTGGAACGTCTCATCATCTACCTTGTTGAGGCAAGGTCTCCCTTGTAGCCCCACACTGGCTTCTTCCGAGCAGCTGGCAAGCTTGGTAAAAGTACTGAGAGCACAGATGCAAGCTACAATATCCAGCTTTTTTTTTCTTTTTAAACTGCATTCTAAGGATCCACTAGGGTCATGGAGCTTGCAGGGGATGCTGTTTTAACACGCCATCTCCCTACCCCATCCCTCTTTCTGAGACAGTTTCCTTAACTCAGGCTGGCCTTGATCTTCCAGATAGGCTGCACACTGGCCATCCTCCTGCCCCCACCTCCCAATTGCTGGGATAAGAGGTGTGCGTCCCGTCACTGGCCTGATTCAGTGATTCTTTGGAACATAAGAGATTTCTCCTCATAAGAAACATCCGTGGCCTCCCAAATCTGTAACAGCTCAGAAATGAATTACCTCTAATTTCAACATTAAAGGGAGCTGGTGTATAGTGATGTAACCCTGTTACTTTCACTTTGTCATGTGGGTGTTGGGAACCACCAGGTCCTCCCAGGGCAACAAGTGTCCTCAACTACCTTCCCAGCCCTCCCCCATCACTATACATTTGCATATAAGATTAAAAGTGGTCGTTCACCGCCTGATACTTAATCAATGCCGCTTTATCAGCTTTCAAATGGTGGTGTTTGTTTTTTGAGACAGGTCTATAGCCAGAGCTGCCTAGCCCAGGATGACCTTGAACTCAATATAGCTCTCCTGCTGAATTTTGAAAGATTTGCTTACCACTCAGTTTTTTGTTTGTTTGTTTTGGTTTTTTGTTTTTTGGGGTTTTTGGGGGGTTTTGGGGGGGTTCCCCAGACAGGGTTTCTCTGTATTGCTTTGGAGGCTGGAGGCTGTAGACTAGGCTGGCCTCGAACTCACAGAGATCTGCCTGCCTCTGCCTCCCGAGTGCTAGGATTAAAAGGCGTGCACCACCAAAGCCTGGTACCACTCAGTTTCTTGCTACAGGCTGAGCCATGCAATGTAGACCTTCTCCCTGTGTCTCCAGGCTCTCCAGGACCCCCGCAGCCTAGGCAGAGTCTACCTTCCAGGGCTGGGCACTTGCTCATCCTAGCACAGATGATGAACTCACAGAGATCTGGAACTCACAGAGATCCGCCTACCTCTGCCTCCCGAGTGCTGGGATTAAAGGTATGCGCCACCACCACCCGGCCCTAGCATTCTTTAAAAATTGTTTTTGTATTACCTCTTTGTATCAGCCTCTACATACTCAGAAAACTAATTTGTTTGTGTGTCCATTAACCCTGAATTTGATAGGTTCTACAAATTACAGTGAAAGTAGATAGTATTTTGTCAAAAGTGTGAACAGTCTCTTTGGGTACATATCCCAGTTTAGAAAGGTTAATGAAGGGCCCTTACCCTATTCCAGTGGAATGCCAAAACCCTAAGCCTTCGGCATTGTCTTCTGCTTCTCCCATGTTAATACTTGCAGAAATGGATCTTTGCTAGAGTTAAAATGCTATCTAACCACCAGAGTGTGTGTGTTCAGCAGCCTGAAGCCCTGCCTTAGTGGCCCTCATCCCTCTACTGAACTACGCTGATGGTACCAGCATCTACTGTTCCTTAATGGTTCTGTCCAGGCCAATCATCAAATATGTGCAGTTATATATGTAGACCTTAAGGGCCACCAACTTGAATAATTATTGCTAATTGCCCTGTGCTTTTCTGAACAGCCATGGGTAGCATTGTTTGTGCCTGGAAATAAAATGTGGCATGGGAAGATGAGTAACACTTCTTGTCTAACAGTTCCACAGTGTGTGCCCTACATTTATAGTGTGTGTCTGGAACTAAGCAGCAGTGACGAGCTGCAAGCCCAAACTGTGGCACACAGTGAGATGGGGTGGCACCCATGTCGTAGGATTCTGTGTCCAGACACAGCTGTCCGGGGAGAAGGATGGCTGCGGAGTGGGGACGGGGAAAAGAAACTCCTCAATTGTGAAATCGAGTTTGAAGACACCCTGCCATCAGCTGACGTGCCAGCCAAAGGCTGAAGCCTCCAGTTCCCCTCCGAACAGCTAGCCGCTGGTAGGCAGCAACAGCAGACCTTTCTTTGTGCCAGGTTCCTGACCTCTGTGACCCCCTGGCCAGGCTTGACTTTCTCTTCTCCCTCAGCTGACCAGGTTTCAACACTACAGCTGGGCCTATGCTTCATGAAGAGTGTTGGCCCCCGGCCAGACTCTGCCCCTTCTCCAGCTGGGGGTGGGGCACAGACACTTAAGTGAGAGGGAGCAACCAGGTCACAGGCACTAGGCAGCGAGCACACAGGGGTAAGGAGGGTTTCCATGTTTGAGCTCCTCTAGTACGCCCAAGGGTCCAAAGAAGCAGCAGCGGAGTGCCTAGGTTCAAATCTCAACTGATGTGTGAGAAGTGGCAGCATAAATAAATCAGAGTTACATGTGAGCATAGGTCATAAAAGGCCTCCAAAAATGCATTCTGTGTTAGCTTTCCCATTGCTGCCTAAAATACATGACAAGAAAGCAACTGTAAGGATTTCTTGGGGTTCGCAGTTTGAGGATACACATTACTTCAGGGCATCCACAGTCAGGAAGCAGAGATAGATCACCAGTGCTCAGTTAGCTTTCTCCTTATTCAGTCAGCCCAAGAATGGTGACACGTGCATTTGGTGGGTCTTCCCACAGCTATTATCTCAGTATAGAAATTCTCTCACGGACAGAATGTGCCCCCTAGGAAATTCTAAGTCCCATCGAGGTAACAGGATTAACTACTGCACACTATGAGTTTCCAATAATTATCACCGTTTTATAAATCAAAGGGGACCTGCATAAGCCCCTATTGGCCAGCGTGTGTGTGTGTGTGTGTTTTGGAATATTTGTAAATATCTCCTAAGTATATAGAAATTATATTCACACAGCTCAAAACACATGGTCATCATTTTTCTGTGGCTTCCAATTGCAGAAACCACTTCCTCCTGCTGATGGCACAGCCTGGTGGGAGGGAGCGCGGACCCCCAGCCGGCTGTGCTGTGGGAAGCAACAGTTTCTCGGAAGCTGGCCACAGTTCTTAACGCCGCGCTGCTGGACGGGAGAAGCACACTGTGCAGCAGCCAGGCAGAGGCTTCTGCACCCCACCACTGCCCCAGAAGCAACTGGCCAATTGCTGGAGGAACGCAGAGGTCATATCTTCTAGAGAGCTCAGGCGGTAAGTGAGCGGCTGCCATCTTCCAGGCTGTGCTGGGACTCAACCACAACACGGTTGTAGGTGCCACTGTGTTGCTCCGACCCTAACCCACACACAGACCAGCTGTCAGGATTCAAAGGTGAAATAAAGCCACTGGCCCTGCTGGCCCTGGCTTGTGATTCCAGCCACTTGAGAAGCTGAGAAAGGAGAACCAAGCGTTAAGGGCTTGTCTGGGCTACAGAGCGAGTTTACGTCCAGCTGGGTGGTTTAGATGCCATCTTGATCTTTACAGAGTAACAAAGGAAGCCAAGAGTGTAATTCAGTGGGAAAACGCCTGCCCAGCCCGGGCTAGCTTCAGTTCCCAGCAGAGAAGAGCTGGGGACAGTTGCCGGCTGTCTTGAGCCAATCCAAGGAGTCTTTGGTCTCTGTCCCTGGGTACCACAGTCCAACTACAGGCGAGTGCCACAGCTCTACCTGCCCGCTCAGCAAAAATCCGCTTCCTTCTCACCAGACATTTGGTCAGCAAGAGCCACTGCCTGCTTTAAAAAAAAGAAAACTCCAGTGCGATGGGGAAAAATAGTTCTTGCTTTGAGGAACTTCAACATCTCTGAGTGAGACAAGGGACAGATGAACATACAGTCACAGGTGACGTCTGCAGAGTACCCTTCCATGCCGTACTGCTCACCGTAGGACCTTCAGATGTCGCCTGGAGAGCTCTTCATACCACTGAGTGGACCCCTAGCATCGCGGAACACTAAGGGGGACACTAACTACAGCTTCCACTCCACTCAGCTGCATGCAGCCGTCACTACCCCTACCTCCTGGGCCACACGACCTGCAGAAAGAATCTACCACTGAAGCAAAAGCTTGCCCCCAGTGGTTTTCAAGGCATCATTTCGAAATGAAAGTTGGCACAATTAAACCAAGGGTACTTAAAAAAAAAAAGGAAAAAGCTCTCAAATACAGCCTTGGATCGAATGAGTCTGGCTTCCTAAGGAGCACACACCCCACTGCAGAACTAATATTGAACAAGATTTGCATTTGGATCACATGCTTTGTTCACCGGGAGGGCCACGCCATCAATAGACACCTGGGACACCATCTAGTCTGTTGTGACTGCAACTCTGACATCATCAAGGATTCGCTGAGAACTTTCCTCTATAGCCCTCTGTCTATGGAAATGATTCACTGTAACTCTTATGCAGCACTTACGCAATAAGGAAAGGCAGTGTGTAGAGCACAACACAAAACTTAAATGCCCTGTCTCATAGCAGATTTCCCCACAGCAAAATCCCAATAATATTACAAGTTAACTTAGAAAGGTACATGTCTGCACTCAGTTCCCAGCCCCCGCCCCCCTCGGACTTCCCTGGCTCTCAGCCTCAAGGTTTCGCCAGGGTGTCTCCTCCTCTCTGTGTCATCATAGGGTCCCAGTGTTGATGCCATCAGTTCTAAGGTCCCAGGACAGACTACCAGAGCTGCGGCCAGGCTAGTTACTCTAACCATGAACTCTCTGGTTTTCCCTGTGGCTTTGGAGGCTGTCCTGGAACTAGCTCTTGTAGACCAGGCTGGTCTTGAACTCACAGAGATCCACAAAGAGTTCTTTTTTTTCTTTTTCTTTTTTTTTTTTTTTTTTTTTTTTGGTTTGTTTGTTTTTCGAGATAGGGTTTCTCTTTATTGTTTTGGAAGCTCTCCTAGAACTTGTTCAGTAGACCAGGCTGGCCTCGAACTCACAGAGATCCGCCTGCCTCTCCCTCCCCAGTGCTGGGATTAAAGGCGTGCACCACTACTGCTTGGATTGGATAGCACTTTTTAGAAACGCTTTGCTTGAATTTGATCATTATTTACTCTCTGTTTGACGTTGGATTGTGTAGTCTAAACTTGGTCTTGACAACATTCATTCAGGACGTCTGTTGCTCTGGCAAAGAGACAGAAGGGGGAAACATCCCAGAAAGAGATGCAACAGGCCGAGCAGTCTCACACCTCCTTTGCTAGGAAATAAAACTACAAGCTGTTTGGTTTTTTTGTTTTTTCTTCCAAAGGTCCGAACACCAAGAGACCACTTCTCAGCCACTAGCTCAGTGTGAACCTCTTCAACTCTGTGTTTACGTGGCTGGGTCCTTGCCTGTACCCCACAGTTCAAGGCAGCTCTGGAGACCTGCCAGTCTCCGTGCTTGTTTGAAATCATTTGCAACAACATCTATGGAAGAAGAAGAAGAAGGAGAAGGAGAAGGAGAAGGAGAAGAAGAAGAAGAAGATATCCTGACTTCTGCATAATGTTATGAAACAGTTCTTGGATCTGTCATTTATTCTTAATTGAAGTAAATTACTAATCTACCTCAGGAAAACAAAAGAATATTAAAAACAATTAAAGGATAGGGTATTATGTCTTTGCCCTCAAGAGTCAAATGGAAGACAGTGTTGTGGTGGCCCGCACTGTGTAGGCAGAGGTGGGATTATCTAGAGTTCAAGGTCAGCCTGTCTCAAAAAGCAATACCAGGAAAAAATACAGAGAGGCCCTGAATCATCCTGCTAATTAAGACTTAGAGTGAATCCCACCTGGGCCTTAGTATCCAAGAGCCAAGACCCAGTCCAAACCATTCTAGGACTCATGCTCACCCTGGACCCTAGAATCATACATGTTGGGTCTTTTGGGCCCTCCAGTGTCTGTGACCCCCAAACTCTCACAGGGCATTTGCACATCTTGACACCCTTCCTCTCTAACATAACTTAGGATGAGATCAGCTGAGATCAGCGCAGGCTCTCCCGGAATTCCAGCAGTAGTCTCTGCATGCAGAGATCCGGTGATCTCAGAAAACTACCCATGTCCACCACAGGCATCTACTGTGTCCAGGGCACTCTCTCAGCCAGCTGCCACCTGGTCAGCCCTCTCCACCTCAGTAAGCCCCTGCATCCCTACACCCCTGCACTCCTGCACCCCTGCATCCCTGTACTCCTGCACCCCTGAACCACTGTACTCCTGCACCCCTGTACTCCTGCACCCCTGAACCCCTGCACCCCTGCACCTCTGCATCCCTGAACCCCTGCATCCCTGCACTCCTGCACCCCTGAACCCCTGCATCCCTGCACCCCTGAACCCCTGCATCCCTGCACCTCTGCATCCCTGCACTCCTGCACCCCTGTATCCCTGCACCCCTGTACTCCTGCACCCCTGCATCCCTGCACTCCTGCACCCCTGCATCCCTGCACCCCTGCACCCCTGTACTCCTGCACCCCTGCATCCCTGCACTCCTGCACTCCTGCACCCCTGAACCCCTGCACTCCTGCATCGCACCTCAGCTTTCTGCCTACACCAGAGCTGCACCAGAACTCCTCTCCTCAGGCTGCCTGCAGAGCTTAGCTCACCTTCTGCTGCCTCTCCCCATCCCTGCTGCCTCCAAAACAAACACAAATTAGCCAGAGGACAAAGGCATTTCCACTACTGAAAGGTCAGAGCCTTAGAAATTACCAACCCTGGGAAAATCACAAGGTTGCTGAAAGGGTCCGAACTCACCAGCAGTGGTTTCCCTCATTTGCATGGCAGTAGAGACCTGGGTCAACCGCTCCCAATCTTTAACATCTTACCAACTTTAAGCACAGGTGCAGGTTCCAGGCATCTTCTCTATTCTTGGTTTTTGTCTGCCCTCAGGGAGCCTGAACTGAACCCCCTGACACCATTCCCCACCCCCACACACAAAGGGTCCTGTCTCTCTTGCATGTCCTGACTTCTCTTTCCCCACCGTGTCTCACAAGTGCCTCATGAGCCAGGCGGTGGTGGCGCACGCTTTAATCCCAGCACTCGGGAGGCCTCCAAAGCCACAGAGAAACCCTGTCTCGAAAAACCAAAAAAAAAAAAAAAAAAAAAAAAAAACCAAAATAAAAAAAAAGAAGTGCCTCATGTCCGCTGCCTTAGGAAATGGTCCTTACTAACTATAGCCATTTGAACGAGCTGTTTCCCATAGGCTCAGGCACTTGAATACTTGGTCCCCAGCTGACATTGTCACTCAGGGAGGCTTAGGAGGCCTTGCTGGAGATGTGTCAGTGGAGGTGGGTTTTGAAAGTTTAAAGACTCTCCATTTCTCTCTCTCTCTCTCTCTCTCTCTCTCTCTCTCTCTCTCTCTCTCTCTCTCTCTCTCTCTCTCTCTCCCTCCCTCCCTCCGTCTTTCTGCTTGTTTGTTGTCAGTTCTAGATGCGAGTGCCCGGCTTCCTGTTCCTGCTGCCATGCAGTTACTCTGCCATCATGGACTCTAACCCTCTGGAACCGTAAGCCCAAATAAACACTTTCACGAGAAAGCACAGCTCAAGAGGAGCCCTTCCTTACAACGCCTTGGAGCTCCTGAGTCCATTAACACTGATTCCCATTTTCCAGTTACCTTGATCCATAACCCTCCTTCAGGCATGAGCTGACTGGGGCTCGGTTTCACCAGCTGAGAGGGGCAAGTCACCGTTGCCCAGCTTTGCCTCTGACTCAGGCCAGCGCCCCCACACGCACGCACGCACGCACGCGCATGCAAGTCTCCCCCAAGAACTGTCTCGACAAGCCCATCTTCATGGTACACAGCCGGTTAAAATTCTCTGAATGATCAGAGGCCACGCCAGGCCCTTCCTCCTGTGTGGCTGCAGCTGGTGATGGCCTCAGGAGGGACTCACCACTGTGCTCACTTTACAAGACCCTCTTAGAGCGTGTACAACGCAACTACCCATGCTCCCTTTTCTTTTCTTCTTATGGGGTGGGTGAAGAGGGAGTTTGGGAAACAGGGTTTCTTTGTGTAGCCTTGGCTGTCCTAGAACTAGCTCTGTGGACCAGGCTGGGTTCGAACTCAGAGATCCACCTGCTTCTGAGGTGTGCTACTCCCACAACTGCTTAGCTTCATTAAAGGTTTCTTAAAATGAGTAAGAGGGACTAAGAGGAGGTTGGACATTGTTGGTGAATTCTTGCACATTTTCCCCAATGCTCCCTTATAATTTAACACAGGATATAGAATTTAACCACCAATATCTGTACACTTTCATTTAAAGCAACATAGTTGCAATCCCAGGTATTTCTAAAATGTGAAATACCAAACTAAGTTATTTTTTCCAGTTAGTTATGCAGCTGTCCTTGCTGTAGACCGAGTGCCCAAACTGAGCAGGATAGTTTATAAGACCTGTAATCCCTTTGTTTTGTCTCAATCACTGGAAGGAATTACAAGGCTTTTGCTCAGGGACTTAGACTTGATGACATTACCACCTGTTTAAACCAATCCCTTTTCACAATGGGGGATCTTCCAAAGCTACCTAGGGCCAGGTTGCCATTCTCTGCCTTCCTGGTGAAAACAAGCCTGGCCAATCCATCCAAGTTTCTGCCCATGAATTCACTACCAGCCTAAGACCGTGACCGTCATCCCTGGGAAACAGTTCTGCAGCTCTTGGGGAAGAAAAAGAAGACTTTTCTAGGCTCCTCGCAAACTCTGAGCCCCTTTCCCTCCCTTGCTCTGTGTACTCCACGCCTTCCAAAATAAGATCAAGGAGTTCCGAATCCATGAAAAAGTCTTTAAAGTCTCACTCTGTGTGTGTGTGTGTGTGTGTGTGTGTGTGTGTGTGTGTGTGTGTGTGTGTGTGTGCAGGGTAGCTGTGTGCAGACTTTCTCTTGGACCCTGGGTTCTGTCCATAGAACATTTGCGGAGTTAACTCAACCTGAGGGTGTAGTGAGTGTCAACGTACTGTGTATGACCCACAGAGCTATTTTGTGTACATTTTTCCCCGCCAAAAGCGCAGTCTTTTCCCATGTCTTGCCTCACGTGTTAGTGTGGATCCCTAGATCTGCTCGTTTCACTCCCGTGGGTGGCAGAGAAGAAGGCGGCCACCAACCCAGCAGAGAGGGCAAGGCAAATCCGTCTGTAAGAAAGTGCAGGACAGAACAGAGAGCACACATCCTTTGCCAACTGTCTTTGGAAACAGGCTCAGTTCGCTCATGCACAGGAAGAAGGCAGGCCCGGGATAGCGTGGGCAGGAACAGGCAGGATGACCCCCGGGGATCACGGGTTTGTTGGAGTTTGCACCGTCTTTCATCCTTTGTGCCCACCCCCCCCTTATTCACATGCATATTACCCCGACCAACTCCACACTAAGAACACTTTCCCCCTACTCCCTGGAAGGTGGTGGGAGCTTCTAAATATTTATGAGGCGTCCTGGCCTCTGGTGCGCTTGTGGCTCTTGGGAAACCGCGCTAATGAATGCGTGCCTGCGCAGGGGGACCCGAAACCAGGCAAAGGGACAGCCACACAGCGCCTGGCGGCTCAGTTCCCAGGCCCGGGAGAAAGCAGGGAGGATGAAGGGCGGAGAAGCTGTTGCCAGGAGAGAAACAAACGGTCCAGACACACAAAAGAAAGAACGGAGTCCCATCTTTGCCTGCTGGAACGCTCCGGAGTGGGGAGGAATCTGAGTGAGGCAGTGGACTGGCCCGCTCGGTTCCCAAGTAGGAAATGAAGAGTTTCCTAGGAGACAACTTACCCACGTTTTCTTTTAAGCCCCACTTTCTGCTATTATTTGAGTCTGGACCCCTCGCAGAAGGTGTTAGGGTCTTTCTTACGTGCTGCTTTTCCTAAATTCCGCTTTAAAGGGAATGCTCCCTAAATGCTGGCTTGGAATGTCAATCAACCATCATAGCAGGTGGTCCGTGTGGTATATTAATAGGAAGAATAACATATTTACACCCTGGAAATGAACCGGGGACATTGTAAGAGCCTTAATGTCACACCACCAGAAAGAATCATCTCCCTCTCCTTTAATCTGCCTACCCCAGCCCTTCCCTTCTCCAGGCACATTGTGCTGAGTGTTTCCTTGGTGTCACTGATGTCTGCAGAGAGGACTTGATACCACCCATACAGTGGTGTTTATTCTCATTTGTAGATCTCAATGTACAAAAATATGAAGGTCTTGTTACTTTCAAAAATTCATTCTGGATGCAAAAAAATATATAACCTTGGTTTCCCTCATCTATCTTCCTAGGATGTCTTAAAAAAATTAGGAAATCCTACCTCAGGCCTGGCCATGGCCCAAAGTTTTGTTTTTGCCAAAGGGAGAAAATGAGAAATCTTCTGCAAAGTAGAAAATGAGCTCTCCCTTCCCTCTGGGACACTCTGTAAATCAGCCGTAGAGAGTTAACACTGCATGTTGGAAAATTCAGAACGTGTCTTCAATATCCTACCCTGCCCTGTCACCCAAATCTGGCTACTTGCTTCCTGACTATTTCATGCCTAAATGACAACTGAGTGAATTCTACACACACACACACACACACACACACACACAAGAACACACGCATACACACGTGCCAAATTCCACATAGGAGAAAGACTGTGTTCCTCAGATACTTCTTCACAAGGGCGTTTTGTAGGAAACGGGAAGTTAGTAGGTGTATTTAGTAAATGTTTTGAGTGAGCATCACACAGCTTTGATGGAATGAATGCACACATGGATTTAGTTGTCCATAAGTAGGTGTCATTTCACAAGCACGACTGCCCCACGATTGTCTATCACCACAGCTTCTACTCCCGCGCTTCCGGCTGCCGCAGGTGGGGGACCCTTCCAGCTTACCTTGCTGGGATCTGGAAAGGCCTAGAGCACAGCTTTCGACTGAAAACTTGCTTTTAGCACCAGCGAACAGAACCCCTCACGATTCATCTCGGTTCTTTACTTTGGCTTGGGTCTTGATGGGCTTGTCTGTTTGCTTGTTCTGAGACGATGTCTTCTCCCTCAGTAACCTTTGACTGGCTTGGAACTTGTAGCCATCCTCCTGCCTCTACTTCCCCAGTGCTAACATCACAGGTGTGCTGTCATAACATGGCTTCCTATGAGTTATGAGCCTTTAGCAAACGTGTCTGTTTTTCTGGAATGACGTCATCAGTTAACCTCCCCTTGAAAACTAGCAAATTAAAAATAACGTGCAGGAATGGGGTGGTGTGGCGTGAGTTGTGTATTAAAACACAGAATTCACAAAAGGAGGGGAGGTCAGGCCCTGGTTCTACTCTCCTGTAGTTAGAACATACTAGAATCTGCTAGGACAAGGTCCCCTGAAAGCCAAGGTATAACTCTGGGGCTAGGGGAGAACACAGGGGTGATGATGCCGGGCAGGGCAAAGGGAGCAATGCGTAACACCATCTACAAGTTTGCCCAGGGAAGTGGAAGGAACACAAAAGCTGTTGCTGTCTGTGAAGTCACAGTGCATATTTTAGTCGTACTGTTCACATCAGGAAGAGGAGGCTGGGAGCATTCTCGTGGACCAAATGAGGCTTTTTGAACTGATAGATTTCTGCAGGCAATTGGATGATGAATGCCAACAGGTTTAGGATTCTGTATGCCTTTGGGCTATAATCTCACTTCTAGGAAATTTGTATAAATTATCATGAATGGAGAACAATACTGTCGTTTAAAGTGGGAAAAGTTAGAAGGAAAGTTTTTTTATTTGATTACTATTTGTTACGTTTGACTTTAGCTGTCTCTGTAATAAGTGAGAATTAATTTTGTTAGAAGAGATCAGTAATAAAGTTAGTTAGGAAAAAAAAAGCAAGTCTGTCCATGACTTTAAGCTCCATTAGAGGGTTGTGTGTCCAGTAACTCTGGAGGGAGATCCTAAGGCTGGTCCACTCTAAGCCTAGGAGAGTTCGGCCAAATGGCCATGATCTGAAGTTATGAATAAATGAAAATATAAGTTCCTAAAAACAGAATTCAAACAGTCTCCCATTTCCTTTTTTTTTTTTCTTTTTTGTTTTTTGGTTTATTTGAGACAGGGTTTCTCTGTATTGCTTTGGAGCCTGTCCTGGCACTCACGCTGTAGACCAGGTTGGCCTCGAACTCACAGGGACCCACCTGCCTCCGTCTCCCGAGTGCTGGGATTAAAGGCGTGTGTCACCAATGCCCGGCTCCCATTTGCTTTTGAAGGTGTCATCAAATATGTGGAAAAGTCCTGTTTCCGTTAACAGCGACATTCTCTGAACTGGGGCTGTTCCTCAAACTCTTTCTACTGCAGAAGCATCACCAGGGAGTCCCACAGAAACAGAAAAGCATCACCAAACACGACCTGACTCAGGCCAGACCATGTTAAAAGCCCGGGGCGGGTCAGTGTTAAAGGGCACACCTCCACACTCTTTCGACACGGAGGCCTTTCTACAGGGCTTCTCTTAGGGCATGACTTTTACTACTTAAGCACTTAGGAGTATTTGACTCTCAAGAGGTTCACCCCGATCATTACAAAGCTTAAAAGTACAGTTTGCACATCTTTCTCCACTGGGACCAGCAGCCCAGCCCCCAGAGCCTGGCGTGGCTGCCACACACTTCTGCCTGAAAGTGCAGACTGGAAACCTTTCCCAGCTGAGCCTAAATCCACACTGAATTTAAAAGCGTGCTGGCTAACTGCCACGTTCCAAACCACCCCAACCTGTCTTCCTCTGTTCTATAATGGCGTTTCGTACGTGTACAAACTTGTTCAAAGAGAGTCGCTTTGTAGGTGGGGGGGGGGGGGGGAACTATCCAAGAAGTTACACCCAGGATGATATAATCACCTCCATCCCCCACCCCCTACCTCCCCACCCCCCCCACCCCGCGTTTTTGTCAGCACATTTTGTGCGGGAGGAAGAGGTAACCATTTTCTTTTTATTTATTTTTGCTTATTTGTGTGCTTTCTTATTTATTTGTTTGTTTATTTAATCTATTTATTTTGGTTTTTCCAGACAGGGTTTCTCTGTGTAATAGCCCTGGCTGTCCCGGAACACAGTTTGTAGAGCAGGCTGGCCTCGAACTCACAGAGGTCAGCCTGTCTCTGCCTTCCTAGTGATGGGATTAAAGGCGTGAGCCACCACACCTAGGGCTTTTTATTTTTTAAGGCAAGGTCTCTTATAACCCAGGCTGACTTCTACCTCTCTGTGTAGCTGAGGCTGGCCTTGAACTCTTGTTCTTTCTGGTCTACCTCCCAAGCGTGACATAGGCCAGCACTACCATGGCCAACTGCTTCTTTTTGATGAGTCAGCCTAAATGCATGATTTATTCATGTTGTTTACTCTTTGAGTTGTCTGCAGAATTGAACCTTAAACATGAATTTTTACAATATAAAGAATTCCTATTGCATAATTTTTTTTTGTTGTTTTATTTTACGAGACAGGGTTTCTCCGTATTGTTTTGGAGGCTGTCGGTCCAGCCCTGCCTCTGCCTCCGGAGTGCTGGGATTAAAGGCATGTGCCACCACTGCCCAGCCACATAATGTTTTTAAGTTTCAGTTTAGTTTTGTTTTTAACCCACATTCAAGCATGTGGCTGAAGGCATCTAACAATGTGCTCCAGAAGCTTCATGGGGGAAGCCTGGTTGGCTCTCAGCTTGGCAGGTGGCTGATAACACAGTAGGAGTTGCCTCAGGGGTCACGTCTTTGAACACTAAAAACCTGGGCCAGTCCGTGTTATTTCTTCATTGTATGTTGCACTTTCAAACAAACAAACAAACAAACAAAAACCGCAGCTTGCAAACCAACCCTCCTGTCTAGACTTTTGACTGTGTCACAG